AGGTGGTCTGTGCATGGGCAAGTGAGTACACTTTGAAAACTAAAATTGCTTGTTCCATCTTGATCTGTCAACAGGTGGGGAAACTACAGGCTGGGAGGCTTCTCCCTAAGGCTTGGAGACTTCTACCTAAACCAGATTTTGAAGGCTACTGGAGAGTAGGAAGCTTATTCTGAAAATCAAAGTTACCCCTAAGGGATTCAAGCAAGGCAGATGAGATCATGGAGCACTGTGCCCATTTTGATCTTCTAGCTCCTCCTCCATTAACACTTGTCTGAGTCCTGGAGGAAGTGGACTGCAATAGTGGGAGATGGTGAAATCTCAGAAAGCCAAGACACAAAAGGTGGTAGCAGTCTGGAAGGATAGAAGTCCTCTACACTATGTTGCTAGGTGAGCATCAGGAACACCTATGGACATCCCTTGGGCAAAAAGATTGTGCAGGCTTTCATAGCATTGGTGCCTTACTGACTCCATTTCATTGTACATACATGCCATATCCAAATTGTAGCCCTTGTGTCTTGCACAGTGGATGAGGACTGCAGGGTTGCACAAATCCTGGGCTCACAGTTCCTGCAACTGCCTACATTAATAAAGTCTGCTGTAGTTGTGCAATAGGAGCCTTGCCTAGAGGTGCAACCAAGGTTTGTTAAAGGAACGAATGAAATAGCAGTTGCTTGGCTGCTCTTATGAACCTTATTTTAAACTTCAGGCTGGGCTGGCTTGACAGGTCAGATTTGGAGTTAACATGTGGGTGGCAGTGGGTCACATGGCAGCAGAGTACTATACCCAGAATATTCAATTAGAACTGTGGTCACTGGCTGTGTAGTTTGCGAATTTAATTCTGAAAAAATCCTGCAAGAAACTAGAAACGAATGCAATCATTGTGTGTGTGCGTGCAGGTGTGTGCATATCTGTGTGTGTTTGTTATCAGTAGGGTGGCAGCAAACAGGTAGGGAGCCAAAGGATAATGCTTACTGTTCACTTGTGGTGACCCACAAAAGAACTTCCATTACTCATTCTAAAGTCAATCCCTAATCCTAGACAAAATAAGACTGGGGGACAAAATGAGAATTCATCACCAAAGTACAGGTGAAGCCGATTCATTTTTGAGCTGGAATAAAATCAATACCAAGACCTTGAAGACTTGATTGCAAGATATTAAACAGGAAAATCTGGAATAGACATTGTCCTCTTTGGAATAAGGTGGGATCTAAAGGAAATATCCCTGAGGCAAAAGCTGCTATCAGTGGAAGTGACAGCCTGGTCTTCAAGAGATGGGGAGAATCATACGTTGTTATAGGTGGTCACATACCTCATGAGCTGGAGAAGACCTTGGCTCATGATCTGCTCATTCTACAAGATGGCAATAGTAAAAGGAAGGACCCAAACCACTTAGAAGAATGTTTATAGCTAGTAAACCTGAAAAGACCTTAAGAGAAACTTGGGAAAAACCTACAAAATCACAGAAATCTACAGTGGAAGGCAGTGCAGAGAGTTAGATTCAAAATAGAATCCAATGTTTATTCAGATCCTCTAGTAGCACTAACAGATGATCACACAGGACACAGAAAGTGAAGTCTTTTTGTTTTTCAAAAAAAATATTTTTAGTTATAGATGGACCCAATACCTTTATTTATTTATTTTCATGTGGTATTGAGGATTGAATCCAGTGCCTTACAGGTGCTAGGCAAGCACTCTAGCACTGAGCCACAACCCCAGCCCCCAAGTGCATAGTTTTGATCATCAGTGTATCCTGAAATTGATGAAATCCGTATGTGGAGGATAGACAGCTACATAAAGCAGAATCTTTTGGTGGCTTCAGTTGGCTTCATTAGACCACCAAATTGGAACCTCCCAGCAGCTGCCCCATAATGAGCACAGGCTCTGGCCATGCTAGATTTGGGGAGAATGACCTTGGATTTCAAATCACCTATAATGCTAAGTAGCATTTTATGGTACCACTAGACATCCATACTTTCTCTGGGCCTACACAGCAGGAGGCGCAATTCTCCAGGGAGAGGCAAGGTTTCCAAGGAAAAGGGTCTTAAATCCAGTGAATGCTTCTACTCTATGGCTATCATATCTTTCTGACTCCTCACTGTCCTTTCCTTTGAGATATTTTTACTCCCCAAATAAGACATAATGTTTTTCCAAGCACAGAGGTACATCAGTCATCACTTTCTCTTGGAAGTAACAGGTTGAATATTTGTTTTACATATTTTTATAGCCTAGATGTTGACTTTATCTAAAGGGACACCTTTGAAACAAACATTTTTAAATGTAAGTACACAAAGGTAAGCATGTCATTATAAAGCAATTTTTTCAAAGTTTGCCTGTGGTTACTCTATCTTGGTCCTTTTACTGTCTATATTAAAGTCTTACTGAATGCACTGTGAGGAAGAACTTGATGCTGCCTCTGGCCTCAGTTTACCACATATACAAAATCAGGGGCTCCAAAGGCATGAAAATCTTCCAGATTTAAAAGATTATGATCATATATCTCATAAAAGGGCTCAAAATAGAGTGTACAGATCACACTACTATTAATAATAATAATAATATGAGTAAAATGCCATATAAGCAAAGCTCCATTCATGTATGAAAATTAGTAGGATTGGTTATTTCCGGAAAAATAAATTGATTCCTTACAAACTATATTTTCCTAATGTCAAGAAAATAATTTCAGTCTTAAAAATCAAAATCTTGATTCACTTTGTTAAGTGAATTTGTTTAACTTGGCTTTCTAAACTTTCATTTTAGGAATAGAACCTCATGATAGGAAGTACTGGAGATCAGAGGTAGTGGAGAGCTAGGCATTAGTGAAACTCAGGCCCCTTTCTTCATTCTTTTACCTACACATTTCCAGCACTTTCCATCTCTAAGCTCCCTTGCCTGAATCACCTCTATGCTTCTCCACATTCTTTCTGGATATAAAGATGTCATATAGACAGTTTTTTTTCTTCCAGAAGGCAGAGTTGCCACTTCTTCAAAACTCTGGATGTTCCCCAGATGCTGCAGAGTGGGAAGGGGGCCTATCACTCATCTCTAGGGGAGGCTGCTTTGGCACCATTTTTGGCTAACGTCTTTGCATTGCATTCCATGCCACTCAGTATAGTCTGTGTCTGCCAGATATTCTGCCTGCTCTCAGCTGAAGGCCTTCCCAAACTGGGCAGCTGAATGTACTACACAGCTGCCAAAATTCTAATTCAAGATCTAGAATTCTAATTCCTGTTCTTTACACCCTTGTCTGGCCTTGGCCCCAATCTCCTGCCAACAGGGTCCCTGGCTCATTATCAGGCCCACCCGAGCCCTGCCCCCACTCTCACTTGGGTCCAGGAAACCATTCTTGGCACCAAAATGAACTTGAACAGCACACTGCCCCAGCCCCACCCAATCCAGCTCTCATCTTAGTAAGTGCATCACCTTGTGAGCTGGAAGATAGTTGTGAAGGGCCAGAAGAGAAAATGCCATGGTGAGGGAACTCAGCTTCAATTTCTGTGACAGACAGATTGTAAAACTTTTGCAGTGACAGAAATACTACATACACTTACATGAAAGGCCTTAACAATTCTATTATTAGAAATACCACTAGAGTTGCATATAGTTAATGGAAGGGGGAATACTACTTCTGTATGTATCTGCACCAGAAGGTAAATGAAATTTGTCCTAAGGAAAAATGCTAAAATCTGGATGCATATATTGATAAACTGCATTTTTGGATATTAAATTGCTGATAATGCACAATGTTCCTTAGGTGGAAAAGTGCTACTGGTGAAGCATACACAGTACAGGTAAAAATGTTACTGCAACTGGGGGTGTAGTGGGGGTGGGGACAAGGTAATTGATTCTTAGCAAAATGCTGGCTTTTCAGAGAAACTGCAAAATTCAACTTAAAGGGCTTAACTGGTCAATGTTATGGTTTAAATGCTCATGGGATGGCATAATCTTGATTGATTCGTGAAATTTTACTTTTCATTGAGGAATAAATATGTCCCTTGCCTCAATTTCCACTTTTAGCCTTAACCAATACACTGTCCTTTCTTTGGGGGCAGAAACAGAGATGGTTTAATCACCAGATCTGAGACAGGTAGTGGGTGTGTGGTGTACTGTATTTGGGGGTAATAAAATTATTTTGGGTTTTGTTTTCCCTAAAGGAGAAAGGAATAGGACAAACGTGGTACATATGTAAAACCCAGGCAAATGCACTTGACAACCAAGCACTCTATTTTGAAATTTAAATAAAGCTAAGAATTTCTTCTGGCCTAGGGGGAAGCTTCATTAAAATCAATTAGTACAAACCTCTAGAGAATATGGACTTTTTTTTTTTTTTTTTTTTTTTTTTTTTTTTAGGTTTAAAGAATAAGGTGCACACAATTACCTTTCTTGGGTCTCCTGAGAATGTCAGTGTCACACACAGACAGGTGGCCAAGTGCAAACAAATGTCCATGACAGGGGCCTGGTAACTCCCTGGGTGCTTATGGCAGGGAAGTATGTGTAATTAATAGGTATGGATCTATTAAGCATGTAATATACATAACCCGAAGAGGCTCCAAACAGATTGCATGTATGACAGACTGTGAAGGGCAGGCCTAGGGAGATAAAAGTTGGTGGCAGGCGCAGCCAGGTGAGGCCTCGGTCCGGGAGCGGAAGGTTGGGACCGCACAGCTGTAGCCGTGCGCCCTGGTCCCTCCTCCCAGCTGCGGCGGCCTCCCCCACCCCCACCCTCCCCGCGCCGCTCCCGACGCCGCCGCCGCTGCCGCCTCCCCTCTGCCTCCCGGTGGCTCCTCGCTCTCCTTCCATCTCTCTCGCCCCCTCTCCCTCCGTCCCGTCCTCTCCTCTCCCCTCACCCCGCCTCTCCCCCCCTCCCCCAGCCCCTCCTCTCCTCACCCCACCCGGCCTCCCTCCCTCCCTCCGCCCGCCCGGCGCTCGCAGAGCCGACACCAGGGGGGCTCTCGATGTAGCACCATGACAGGCATCGCCGCCGCCTCCTTCTTCTCCAATACCTGCCGATTCGGGGGCTGCGGACTCCACTTCCCCACCCTGGCAGACCTCATCGAGCACATCGAGGACAACCACATCGGTAAATGACCCGGGGGTGGGCGGGGGTGCCGGGCGCGCGGAAACTCTTGCCCAGGCAACAAGCCCCAGAATGGCCAGGGGTGGCCGGGAGGCAGAGAGAGAGGGAGGCGGCGGCAGGGCGGGGAGGGTGTGCGCGAGTCCCGGGGCTGGGGGTGGCAAGATGCAGAGGCGCTAGGTGCGGGGGAGGGGGGCGGGGAGCAGGCTCTGGTGGGGGAGGGGGCGGGCGCCCCGAGGTGCAGCGGGCGGGCCGGGGGACTCCGAGGGGCGTGCACGCGGGCTGCGAAGTGGTTGGAGTGGGGGTGCGCCGCGGCGGGGCGGCGGGGATGCGGCGGCGGGGCCGGGCGCCGGGGGAGGGGGCGCAGGGCGCGGCGGGCAGGCAGGCGGCAGGCGCTGGGCAGGCGCGCGGAGTTAGTTGGCCCGGGTGGTCCGAGCGGCCCAGGGTGTCGGGGGTGCGGGGGGCGGGCGCTGCACGCCGCCTGCCGCTTCCGCCCCGGCTCGAGCTGTCAGGGCTCGGCGGCGGCTGCAGCCGCTGGGAGGTGGGAGGGGGGGTGGGGGTGGCTCCACCGCGGCAGCCATTCCGCTTCCTCCTCCCACCGCCGCCGCCACTGCGTCCTGTCAGCGCCGGTTGCTAGGTGTGGTGCGTCGGGAGGGGGCCGGGGCCGGCGGCCACGGGCTGGCGGAGGACCCGGCGCTCGACCTCTTCCCGGGTGGCGGCAGAGCGGGCCGGGGAAACGCGGGCCCCCGGGCCCTGGGCGCCCTCTCCTGCACCGGCCTGGCGCGGACGCCGGGGCGCTGCGGGCTGAGGTTCCGGGTGCGCCCGCGGGCCGCGCCCAACGCCCAGGGGCCCGGGCGCCCCCAAGGCCCTTAGGGCTGCGTCCGCTGTAGAGCAGTCCCCGGGGCCGGCAGCCGGGCATTTAAATGCGCCCTGGCTCTGCGATTTGCATTTCAAATGGTTCTAGGCCCGAGGTGCGCTGGCTGCGCCCAGGGATCCGCGGCGGCCTGCGCATTGCCCCGGCGCCAGGGACGCAGGCGAAGCGGGGACGGGAACGCCCCGTGGGGCGGCGGGTTTCCCTTAACGCCCAGGACCCAGGGACCTTTCAACAAGTCCTCTGATTCTCAGAAGTCCTTGCACACATTTCCACACGTCTATCCCGAGCCCCTATGAAGGGAGATGGGTCGGGTTCTTCTCGCTCTGGCGATCTAGCCACCTGCGGAAGGTGTGTCCAGCGTCCGCAAGTTGTCCTGTGTGGGCAGGAAGGTGAAGGGGGCGCGTGATGCCTCAGCGGGCTCTGTAATCCAGAGGACCTGCAGATTGCCCCAGGAAGCCCAAATGAATGCCACGGATTCAGCCATGTGGATGCAGCTCACGTTTCTACAAAGTTGAGAGAATAAATCACGACTGCTGTGTATTTATGCATGAATAAAATGAGGCAGAGCCTTCTGCTCCTTTCCTATAATGCTCTTTGCACACAGTGGGTTCTTAATAAGCACTGAATGCTTGTTTGGAATGGGTTTTAATGGGCTATCCAAAATGGGAAATAATCATGGAACATGTTCACAAAATGAACAGGTAATTCTGATGAGTAATTGTCCAGGTTTTGAAACTTTTCAAGTTCCAAAACATTCGTGCCATAGCTTCTTCCATCTCTTTTTAGTAAAAGCATTGCTGAAGAACTAGACTCTCTAGTTTTGGGAGTCTTAAAAGCAGTTGAATGGAGTAACAAATTTGCTGATTCATATCATGATTGGATAGTCCTAAGTGAATGTGCTTGAGAATATAAATCAGGTTTTTCATGATGGTTGGCTTAAAATAAAGTTAAAACTCCCATAATTCAAAGCTTCAGTCGAAATTTTGTTAGTTCCCATACCTTCTCTTACTCCCAATAATAAATGGAAAACAATAAATATAAATACTATAAATTTGAATTATATAAATATGTGTAAATAATATAAGTAAATGATATCTCTTGGTCTGTGGAAAACTGTCTTTGCATGCCCCACCCATTCTCATTAACAGTTGTATCAGGATAAAGGAGAATTTATGTAAGCTGAGTAATAATTTTACCCAATAATAATTGCCTGTCTAGTTGGACTGATAAAAGAAAATATTAATTATTAAAATGTGTTAAAGACAATTATCCCTCTTGAGGATTTAGTTTGTAATCAGAGGTTTTAAGACTTAATTGTGGGCAAATTATAAAAGATTTTTTTTATGTTTGCAGAAATTGTCTCAATATTGTGCAAACATTTTTTAAGACAGTTAAAGATTCATAAATTTCATAAAATTCAACTTTTACATAATGGTATCTCACTCCCAAAGGACTAGTGTTTTTCTTTTAATGATGAAAATATTAGAAAATTATTTTTATAACAATAGTTATGACTTAGGCAAATTGTGTGGCAATTGCCTAACAATTACCATACTTTGGAAATAGTTTGAACCATCAAACTTTATGAAAAGAAAATGTTAAAATTAACAAATGCTTGAAATTCCCAGATTAAACAGAGTCATATAAATTATTGTGTACTTCTGCTGAGAAGAAGGCCATGATTCTCAAAGGCAGCCCCATATACAGAAAGAAGTAGGAATTAATCTTGTGAAGAATAAAAACATCCTGATTAGTAGGTAGCATCATATAAATATACTTACAAATATGCTTTTGATGAAGATACAAGTGAAAATATATAAGGTACTCAGTGAAAGGTATATTCACTTATTTTTATATGCTATTTATTGTTTGTGATTCCATCTATACATTTTTGGAAATAATTAGTTACTTTATTAATAATTGATTTACTGATTTCATTGGAAATAATTAGTTATTTTATTAATAATTGATTTACTGATTTCATGTCTTTGTCAGCCAGTGGCTACATTAAAAAGATTCATTAAAAGACAACTAAGAGATGTATGTTAATCTGCTTTTATTCAAAGGTCTTATTATTTAGCAACCATAACAGGGTTGTTGGAGATATACTTAGGTAATAGTTTCATCTTCAGGATTTTCTGGGTTACTACTATTTAGCCACTAGTCAGAACCCTTAAGCAATCATGAAATGAAGGTTTATGGGTACTTTGGCATGTATCTCACTTAATAGATTTTTTTCCAAGACCTATAGTTTTCATTATAACTATCATGTTTAATCCAAATCTATTAAGTGTATTAAGTTGTGAGTAGTTGTCGTTGCAATCTTACACATATACACATAGCTCTTGTAGGTTTTTCCTTTGCTTATTTTTGTGGTTCTGGGGATTGTATCTAAGCTCTCACATAGGCAAACATGAACTCTAGCACCTGAGCTATATCCCATTACATTGTTTTTAACTGTTTTTCTCTTCCCATAAGAAACACGGATTGGGGGCTTTGGAGACCATCCTTTGTTTTATCTATTTTTCTTCTTGGAAGAGTGCTGTACTTATGATCCTATTTTTTTTTTCCTTACATCTCACTGCTGATTCAGTACTGGAGCAACTGTCTCAATGAACAACCCAAGTATCCCAACTGAAACCCTCCCCAACACCCCACTTAAGTTGCCTAGAAATCCCACAGCCCTGCAACTGTGAAGTGCTTTTCCACCAGCTTTGCTATCAATTCATAACCCTGGCGCTGTTTCCTGGAGACGGGAAAAGCTGGTCGGTGATTGTTTGCTTCTCATTGTAAGTAGATACTTGAGTTTGTAGAAACTCTTAGCATGAACATCCTAGATAGTTAAACCAGTTACCAGGAATCTGTTACCAGGAATCTTAGAAACACCAATAGCACTAAAGTTAGCACTGAAGGTCATGCCCCAGACATATGAAATGCCTGAATCTCAGTGCTATGAAATCATTTGTAAAAGTAATTCTGAATTTTGAATTTATGTGATAATCTATATTGAATACTTACTATCAGGTACAGTTCTAGGCACTTGATATTTTTGGTGAAGGAAATAAAGATCCCAGTTCTTCGGAGATATTACATTCTAGTTGAGGGAGACAATAACCATTTGAAATAATGATAAAGTATGTGGGAAGGTAGTGATACAGAAAAGAGGAAAGTTAGAGCAGGGTAAGATAGATTGGGAGAAAGAAATGTTGGAATTTTAGATAGGTTTCTCAGGATAGGCCTTGTTCTCACAAGCTGATATTGGCTCAAACCTTGAAAGAGGTGTGGGAGTTAGCAGTGACATCTGTGGAGCATCCAGGTCCAGACAGTGTGGCCAGAGGCACTTTAGACTCTGGCAAAGGGCTTCCCCGCTGTGGACTTGGAAAGTGGTGTCAAGGCCAGTGGCTTCCATCATGGCCTTTCCTTGTGGCCTGAATTTATTTGAAAAAACCCCAGGACTAGAAAGAGACACTGTGCCTTTGCCTATGAGTACGTTCCCCTGAGGACCTTTCCTGTGGGGAGAAGGAATGACTGAATGAATAAATAAATGAGTGAATGAAAGGCTTGTTGCTGCCTGCCTGCTCTCCCTGTACCCTGTGGCTTGGCGGCTGGATCCCCCTCCCCCATTGCTCCCTCCTTTCCTTCCCAAGAAGGGCCCAGATCCAGAGCCAGGGGAGGTTTGAAATGCACGAGGGAACCCTGGATCTAAAATTTCATTGCCATCTCCAAAACGTCTTCAGTAGTTTCTCTGCTCATTTCTCATCTGTGAACAGTCAGCTCACCCTTTAGAAAATAGCCCTTTCAAACATTCTGTCTCACAAGTTTCATGAATTTGTGATTATTTTCCTTTAGTGTACAGTTTTCTGACATGTAACTGAAATGTGTCGACCCTAAAACTTGGCTTGCAACTGACTGGGTGGACCAAAGCCTCTGTATTCTTCAGAAAATAGTCTCCTTTAGAATTCACATATTTTGTAGCCCTCTCTTACCTAGGCAGTTCTGGCAATGCAAATTGACAGCTGTTTTCAGAGATCCCAATTCTTCCCTGTTGGTGACAGTGAAGCTGCCTTGAGGCTGGAGCAGGCTGGTGACACTTGATGTGAGGGACTTTCCTAAGACTATTTGGAAGCCAAAGGCCTTGTAGACTGAGGGCTGAGAGACAGAAGACAGTGCCATTGAATCTGTTAGAAGTGCTGCTTTTTCTAGTTTTTGTTCTGTGCCTCCCATTTCTCAGTCATCCTCTCCTTGCCCCTGCCTTCATATCTTGACAGTATAGACATGTTCTG